CCCCCCCCCCCCCCCAATAATTCCCAAAAATCTTTGAATGATAGCTGAATAACTATATAACAAAACTGTGGCAATCACTTTTCGACAAGAACTAAGATTTCCAGCAACAAATGGTGGCAACCTAAATTCCACCCCCCGCCGCCGCCAAAAAGGCTGTCACTGCTGGGCCTATAGGAAGAACAGCTTTCTTAGGACTGATTGAGTTCACTCATAGTTTGGTTTCAGACAGAAGCACAAAGAATGTCAGGTAAACCTACCCAGATTACAAGGATCAACATAGGTGTTAAACTGTCTATATCTTTCCACGTATTTTCTGGCCCAGTCGGATGTAATGGTCAATATTGCAATCCGAGGGTCATCTTCGCTATGGATCTAGATTAGTAAACGATCAATTCCGTCACTCTTGCTTCACCTTAGTGATTGTGGTTGTGGTTTGTGTCTGAACTATCTGAAGACGATATCTCAAACGTGGTGGTTCAGTGTAGGCAGTATTCTACAATAAGCTGCCGTGGTTTGTGTCTGAACTACCTGAAAAAGATATCTTAAACGTGGTGTTCCCGTGTAGGTAGTATTCCACAATAACCTGCAGCAGTCGGTCATATCTTACTACCTGGAAAAGATAACTCAAACCCAGAGGTTCAGTGTAGATAGTATTCTACAACAAGCTGTTGTGGCTTTTGTCTGAACTGTACTTGAAAAAGATAACTCAAGCCTGTAGGTCCAGTGTAGGTAGTATTCTACGGTGGATACTAAATCCCTCTACAATGTCGTAGTTTAATTGTGTCTAGTTTAACACTTTGAAGTTACTGTACGAAGAGGGAAGTAGCCAAGACAACAAACCACGGCAACTGATTTTAGCTTTACCTTGAAAGAAGTCACATCGTTTTTTCCAAGCGAAAAGTCCAAGTGTTCATCCTCTGAAGAAGAAAGTACAAATTACATATATACATCTAATTTGCACTGAAAAGATTAAAAAACAATGTAATATCGTAGCAAACAACCAATGGCTTCATTGGTTTATAGTGGTTGAAGAATTTACAACTTACGACATGTCACTTTAATAAGAATTCTGTCGTCACTGATCTAAATAAACATGACATAGTGGGACATTATTTTTCTTCAACACTCACTGACATCACCAGCGTCATCACCACCATCATTATTAGTACCACTACCATCATCATTATCATTGGTATCACCCACCACCATCACCGTCGTCATCACCAAAATTATCATTAGTATCACCCACCACCATCATCATCGTCATCACCAAAATTATCATTAGTATCACCCACCACCATCGTCATCGTCATCACCAAAATTATCAGCTTATCAACCCTAACTCCACAGGTTCCCTTGAAAGACAACGCAATTCACCAACAAAGACATGACTGGCCATCACAATGCACGGTTCTCCTTGCCGATACGTAGGTACTTTCTGTCCAACTTCTTCTGTTTTTCACAATTCACTTTTGAGAGAATACCATTGGTACTTTGAGACGAGCCATCATTCGAAGATTGTGACTTTGGAAGGGTCGTGGCAAACGCGGAGATAATTCGATCTCCTTCGACGTTTGCTTCATGTTGGCTAAAAAGATAAATTTTAAAAACGTTTATGATTATTGGTACCATATGTTGTGGCGCCCATAGTGGGTTCAAATTTTCAAGAGCAAATCTTCATTCAAACGAATTTCCTGCAGCTGTTTAACATTTCCTGTGAGATGTGCTCGTCTCAATCCTCATCTTGTTTTGATCCGAGCCGCTTACAGTGACAGCAGTCATTAATAATCAGGTCTAGGTTTTAACATACCTTATTCTCTCGACAATCGGTTCATCACTTAGGTTATTATCAATCTGGAATATATCATGTGGACATACATTATGGAAGGCAGTATAAAAGCAAAACTATATGGATTCAATGAAAAACACAAGCATACCAATTGGATAAGTGTTTCAAGATGAGTTCCTGTTATGACCTCTTTAAATATGAGTACAATATGTTTTTTATTGTATGCTGAAACAAAAAAATATTATTCAAAAATAGGAAGAACAGATTTGGTTCTTTTCACCTTTGGTTACACTGGGCCAATAAGGGAGGATATTTACTGGGCTGGGAAGCATCC